CACAAATAGCAAATAAATTCTTCCCAGAGTAATATGGGGCATACAGATGTATCATAAATATCTAAAAATTGGAATCCAGTTGAAAAAACAAACTATGAAGATACAATTGCTGGTGAGTCCATTTTAAATCAATAATACTGTTAATTCACTAAAGTGATCGATTTCAGTGGAAAACTATTGTGCAACCTTGAGAATTTTATTACTTGACAAAATATTATTTGCTATTTCATAATTGAAACTGCCAGGCTTAACAAAGGCCAGTGTGTTAAAAGCAATTTTCCTGTCTTCACAAACTGCTGTGTCATAGTTACGCTCATCTCAATGAGTTTAGACCTCACAGAACTACAGTCAGTAACTGTGTCGAAAATTACACTGCATTGAAAGGTCTGAAAATCACAAAAGCACAAATGCAAATTAGTTATGCAAAGTCCATGGTTTGTGGTTTAAATGAGAAAGTTAGAAGGTTTTTAGGGAGGAGCAAGCAATTTCAGAAGTGCTCTTCCAGAACATAACAGGAAACGTGATGAAACTGCCACCCTTCTCTCATCTGGTTCCAGAGCTGACATGGACATCCCACAATTTATAGCACCATTTTCTTATCATCCCACCTAGAATAATTTCCCAAATTTTAATCCTAATCATGTTCCTTTTAAAGGCAGAAAGAAAGGAGTTATCGTATCAGACTACCCAGCAGCATCCTCTTTCTCCTTCCAGCATTCATAGAACTCTAACCAAGAAATGACAGCCAGCTTTTATTTCTTTTGTGCTGCCTTAGTCCAGTGATTTCCAAACTGTGCCCTGTGGGATCTCATCCAGCTGATATTTCCACCTCAGATGCATCTACAGAGGGCTTTGACCTCAGACCTTGGCAAACCATGTACTGAGGGGGCCCCTGGCCAGGTCACGGTGGGAACTGTGGGTTCCTGGGAGCTGGTATGCTAACAGAACTGCCCTGCATTTGGCAAGCTTCCGCTTCTTGTTCTCAGTTGGTTCAGGGCTCTGTTCAAATAAGGTCATGTTGCAAGTTCATGACCATTATTGCACCTTTGCCCCCACTGTAACCTGTGGTCTCCATTTTGTTGTTTTCATTATTGAAGTTTTCATTTTAAGGGTCTAGACCATCATTCCCATTCCTTATTTTGCCAGCTCCCTCCAGCCAAGCTGAGCAAGGGCATCAAAGCAAACTCTAAACTGCAATAGTGCCCCGTAGATCCAAGGAAGTGTACAGACTGCCTTGATTAGTGAAAAAATACCTCATAAAAAACAAGCAAATATATATTTCTGAAAAGCACATCTGAATATCATTTCGATGGAAAAACACATCTTCATCAGAAAAAATTCAGGGATCAATGATCAGTGAGTGAACAAATACTGTAATCTGGCATTTCCTATCAGTAAACTCATTATCCACTGCAGAAACACAGCCTGCTTGACAGCCCTGTGTTGTGTCCTTTATCACTGATCCAGAAACACAGTCATGAGAAACAGTTGTTTGATCAAAATTAACAGCTAGTTGCTAGCAAAGACAGGAAGAGAACCAGTCAGCTCACTGCAAATTGTCTCCTCTTGTTCTAAAAACAGAATTATTTTTCCCCCTTCTCAAGAATTTCTACTTGAATAAAAGACAGAGATCCCTACTGTAAAGTCACAGTATTTCACAGGGACAGAATGCAGTCCTTCATTCCTTCACAAACCCCCTGTTCTAGTGGAGTGCTTTCCTTCCAGCAGGATTTCATCTGCACCAATTCAAATTTTCAGACTTCTAGACATAAGGGGAAATAAGCTTCCAGCATGACTCAATTATAGGAAGTTTGTTTTTCTTTGTCTCGTTAGGCTTCCTTCTGCCTGTTCAATATTTGGTTCACTCAGCTTTAATATGAGTATTTTCATTTAAAGAAATAAAATCTCCAAAAATTTTGGATAAGCCCCCTGGTTTATGTAACCCAGTTTAGATGAGACACTCAGTTAAATTTGAGACACATAAAAGACTTTTTCACTGCGCCTGCACAAAGAGCTGGTTTTATATACAGGGAATCAAGTTCTGGTTCTGTTGGCATCTGTGTGGTTTTGCACTGATACCACCACAGATGCAGCAGACAACAAGATGTCATATTGTTTGGCTGTGTGTTTTGCTAAGTGTCTAAATAAGTCTTCATTCACAAACCCCTTTACCTCAAAATAAGAATAAATTTGTTAATGCAATCTTTATACTGATAGACACCTACAAAAAAACAAGGACAGCATTGCACACACTGCCTGCAGTGTGATTTCCATGTTACAAGAGGGAAATCCTCAATCTTTACAGACCAAGATGACAGTGCACTGCCCTTGAGCTGGAGGAGGTGAGGAAAGTACCAGAAATCAAGCTTATTAAAAACTTCTCCTCATTTTTGCATTTTGAACCAGCTCTGCCACTTTTAACTGCTTCTCCTCATAATTCTCTCTCTGTGCACAGAAGGCATTCCTACATTGCTTGGCATCACAGTATATAAACTGCTGTGGCTGAGATATGCCCACAAGGAAACTGGGTAAGAGTTCTTACCTTTTCTTTTTTCCCAAAGAAAACAACTCCATGACATAAAGGGAAGCTATCTCTCCCTGTAACCTTGCTGCCTGCTTAAGTCTCATACCATAAGCAAAATGAAGAAGTTTGATTATTGGTGAGTAATCAAACCTACGGGATGTAGGTCTAACACACTCTCTGAAGAGTTTTGAGACTCAGCATCTGTTTTTCAGTGGTTGATTTTCTACACTTTGTTCAACACACAATCAGTGAAACCATGTAACCAGCAATATTTGGTACTGTTTAATTCTGATCTAAATTACACACCAGGTGTAGTGCACTGGAAAAACAGGCATTTGGAGCAGGGTAATGTTGAAGTGATGTGCCAAAATAATACTGGGGACCATTATACAGCTAGTCCTGTCTTTTTCCAGAAGAAATCTGAAGCTAGGTTTCTAATCATAAAACTGTTAAGAAAACATGGCATCTTTCAGTAAGTACAGAAAAGAACACTTTGCAGTAATGGTACCAAAAAACATTTAGTCTTATTTATACTAGGACAGGCTGATCTTAAAGTAATTAATATAAATCAGGAGTAGCAACATGGAATTATTCTGGATTTTCACTGGAATAAATGAGATCACAATCTGGCCTAAACTACTAATGGGAAATATAACCCTGACCACATATGAATGCAGTTACACCACAGAGTCCTTCATTACACTTTATGGACACTGACTTCACAGTAAACTGGCTGGCACCCAGGTGGAGTGAAATTTTGCCCATTAAACTTTGCCATAAATATATTCCTTACACAGCAAATGTTATTGGACATAAAGTAGAGATGGAAAGATTATAAGAAAACCACACCATCCCCTACTCAATGCAAGGTTGTTCCCTGTGCTTCATGTTTCAAAGTCTTTGTTCATTTTGTGTTTTAATGATTCAAGTGAAAGAGCTTCCACCACTGACCTTGAAAAGCTGTGTTACAATCCAACCAGAACTCTCTTCTGAACTCAAAGGCATAATGTAATAGTTTTATCACTTTGTGTTTCAAAAATAAAGCCTGCAATAAGAAAAATGTTTCTATTAACAGGAAAGAGCCATGTATTAATGTTCAACAGCAATATACTGGAAAGAATACAATCTCCTGACTTCCAGATATCTCCCAAAGGTGACATTGAGTGGGTTTTGTTGGTTCCAGCTGACAGCCTAAGACTGTCAGTCTCTCTTTTTCATTCAGATGTATTTACTTGCTGATACTTGCATTATCAGGCAATGCATCATCATGGTAACTCAAAATTCTGTTCAGTATTCAAAAACCACTGGAGTATATCATCAGTATGGTGGAACATATAGAGCATATTGAAATGTCCATTACCCTCAGCTGGGAAATGAATGGTTTCTGATCATTCTCTAACTGAAAGAGAATAGTAGCCCTTGATGAGGCAGGTGAGGTTCAAAGGCAAGCCACCAAAACATCAGACAACCTGAAAAAATACTATACAAGAGCAGGAGAAATGATTGCTTGAAGAACAAAGTGTCATAAACTATCAAAATCAAGCACCTAAATGGATTTAAAAAGTAATGAAAGGCTAATTAGATAGCCTGCAGTAACAATAGACAGTGCTTCCTCCCACTCTGAGCAGTTTAAATTTACTGCTAAGACTCAGCAAAGCTCAAAAAAAAGTAGACAAAAGAAAAATGTCTCATGGAGAGGCAAGAGAAAGAATATGCCACTTTCTTTTTTAAAAAGGTGGAATTGGCCCATGTAGAAACCAGAGGACAGACAAGGTGGTGCAAGGCAGTGCAATTCATGTACACCTGTATCATTTTGTGTTTCTCTTCTCAGAACTGAGCCTATCATTCACAATTAAAGTGTGCAGATTCTATCAGTAACTAATTGTAGCTCAGATACCCTAACTGCTTCCTTTGGTATATCCAAAACCTGAAAACCACAGGCTGAACTCTACTCCCATCAGATCTGTATGCCTACTAAAGTCACACAGGTCTTAGAATGTTTGACAACAGCTCACATTTTGATACAGACACACATTGATTTCACTGTGTAAAAGACATTTCAAAAGCAGCAGAGCCTGGAACAGAACTTGGATATTCTGCTTTACTAGTTCCATCCTCTTTGGCAGTCTGCCAGTCAGTTGTTGACAATCATAGATTTCAAACATTCAGCTCCCTTTCAAAAACAAGGAGATGGTAAGATGTCGGTTTTTAACTTAAAAATTTGGTGAAAGCTGATTCAGCTAACATAAAGGAGTAAGAGTCCACCAAAGCTGCTAGAAATAGTAACTTATTTCTTTTGACATATAAGCTCTGATTTTTCTGATGCTTAAAGGTTCCTCGTTCAATGATGTGGTTGTTATTTCTGTATTTATGTTGTACTGCACAGACACCAGCAAATCAAATATAAGCAAAGACAACTCTGTTTGCAAATTTTGCAAATTTTGTCCCTACTCTGCAAATTAACACTGCATGTGGATTCATTTCACTATTTTATTTCCTCAAAAATAGGTTGACAAGGACTAGGTTGAGTTTTCAGAACTTAAAACCCACGCAGACTCTTGTAAACATTTAATATTTTTTCGCAAAGCATCTATTATAAATTATTGTAAACAGTGATTTCCTGAAAGAAATTAATGTAAACTCAAATAGATTTAAGTGAACTATAATTCCCTTCTTCATCCAACCTGCGGGGTCCCTTGGCGACATCTGCCTGCACAGCTCTAATTATGAGAAGTCATGTGCCGGGATAAATGATGGCGTTCTCGGAAGTACTCGTGGCAAATGGGACACGTCAGCTTCTCCTCCCGCCTCCTCTTGCACTGGGATTCACTTGAGGAGTATTCTTTCTTGTGATGTGACCGCATGTGGAAGACTAAATCAGATGTCATGCGAAAGGACAGGTTGCATTTGGCACACCAGTTCTGGGCAGCCACTCCAAAGGAGGTGAAGGTGGGGGGAAGAAGAGTCAAGGAAGAGGAAGAAGAGGAGGAGGAGGAGGAGGAGGAAGTGGTGGTGGTGTTTTGTAATTGTCCTGCTTGCTTGAGCCACGGTTCTGAGGTATATGGGAAAGCACTGCTTCGAGTGATGCTTGTCTGCAGCATCTGAGCATTACACAAATCACTGACAAAGAACTTGGAATTGAGAAGACTGCTGCAGCACATGATGTCTGCGGTGGCAATGAAGCCAGACAGCTCCCCCAGGCTCTTTGTTGACTCACTCATGGGATGAGAAGAATTTACTGCAGCTCTTTCTGTTATGCACTTACTGGGCTTGCTGAAAGCACTCTTCTGTTCTCCTCGAGCTCTGGTGGGCCAAACAAAGGAGAAAGCACTACCAGAGGAGTTCAGCAACACTTCCTTTGACATCTGCTCCTTACCAAGTGGGGCCGTGCCATCCTCCTGCTCTGGCTCCTGCAGTCTCTCATTCCTCAGCTTCTCTTTCATCCTCCTGACCTCAGTGAAAGCACTCTGCTTCTGCTCTAAAGCATCCTTCCTAGCTGACTGCCTCCCTGAACTAAGCTTCCTGAAAGAACCAGCCAATGCATGCTCTCCCCCAACCTCTTCCTTGCCCCCACAGTTATGTTCCTCAGTCAAGTTATTGGTTTTCTCCAACAGCACTGTTTTCCTGCTCCTGTTGCTCTCACCCTCTTCAGATTTCGCTCTCCTTTCTCCAATAACACCATGTGCATCGTCTTTACAAGCTGCCATTTTAACTTCCAGGTCCCTTGCCAGACTGTGGAAATTCGTGGTCTGCACAGCTAGGCTGCCCTTTTCAGTTTTAGGGTTCTGGAAGTTTCTCCATAGCAGAGCACTCTTCTCTGGGACACAGAGGAAGCGGACATGGGACAGATAGGAATGCTCACATTTAAAGACTCGGTCGCACTCTTGGCATCTCAACTCTGCAGAAACAGAAAACAAGTGATGAGTTTTGCAAAGGTGGAATCATGGGTGGATGCAGATTCTGATCCTGTTATTGACACAAAAAGCCAGGAACACCTCATGTCTTACAAGGTTACCCATGGTAAAACTAATGCCAGGGCAGGATCAGGTCCCTTCCTGCTATGCAAAATGGTTCATTCTTATTTGCTTCCATGCTTCTGTGCTACTGGCAGAAATATTCCATTTAGACTCTCAAACCTAAATTTTATTACATAAAATGTAATTATATTACATAGAAGTACATAAAATGGCCAGTACACCATGATCTAGATAAAACCATTTAGATTTTATAATGATTTGAAGTCTAAACCCAGATTTGGGTCTACATTTCTTAACTAAGTCACTGGCTTTCATTCAGGATGAACGTTAAACACTATGTATCCAAGCAATAATGAGTTTTAGACCAGGATTCGAAGATTTTTACATGACTCTATTTTTAGGATACTCTGGTAATTTAATAGTGTTCGAAAGTCATCTGACCTTAATGGCTGAAGCCTTTACTCATGCTCATTTGGCAAGCTGTTATATGCCTTAAGGCACAAATGTCTGTGGCACAAAAATGATGTTCAGATTGAAACAATGCCAGTGATGGGCAGGAGGAATAAGGAACACTCTTTCCTTGTGGTCTTCAGACCCACTGCGCCTCTGGTTCATTGGGATGATTGACTGCCCAGATGGTACAAAATTCAGCAATCACACAAATATGGTACATCTTAACCCTTATAAACTATATCCATGTTAGGTTATTTCACAACACAGCAGTTTTACAATCTAAGTGATGCCAGACAGCACCTGAGTCCTGGGATACATAGGAAACTTCATAAATTGGTTGGGTAGAATTAAAAATTCCTAATTTGGGACTCAGCACAGCTTACATCACTTCACAAACTACAGAAGCTGAACTTTTCATAAGAAAATAAAGCTGCTGAAATGGGTGGAACATTAAACCTATGAGTTTAAGTCTTGAGTCTAGATATAGTCTTGTACAAGTAACACACTCTTCCCTGGTAAATCCAAAGGGCTGGCAGCGTGTGTCCACACAGAAACTAACAGAATACACTGAAACCAGCTGGAAGGATTTAGTCAGTTCCTGCTATGAATGTGTCTGAATTAATTCAAAACTAATTTACAGACAAGCACATTACCATATGAATTTGCTAACACATATCTTTATCAACCTATACCTTTACTAACCAATCTATATAAACTTTGTTTAAGTCAACTAAAGGGAATGTAGAAAGGGTTTTGTTCCAGTCTAACTAGGTAAAATTTGGAAAAAATGACAGCTGGAATCAGACTTGGTATGGACCTGATTAACTTGCTTGGTGTCTCTGTAATCTGGGTTTTTAGTTTTGTAACAAATTCTAGGTCAACTTCTTATGGAGCAATGAATTTTCAGCAACATCTCAGAAATTGAAGCTTGCTCTTTTCCTCATTTCCACTGTGTCCAACATTAAATAGGCAGACTGTGCTGCATGCAATACTGTTAGGTTTGTTATGTATTTTTAAAGATCTGCTCATTTGCAAGATTAAAGCTGTACACTAGTCTACACCTGATTTGTCAGTGAGCTAAAAAAGGCCTATTTCCAACTGATACTTTAGACTTTTTAGGATTCTAAGTTTTTGAAGTGCATAGATTTCCATTGCATAGCTCAAGAATTTCAGCATGAATCCCTAGTGCACCATCCTCTGCTAGAAAGTACCAATGAGAATGGCATTAAGAACTGCAAATTGTTTCTTGCTCTGTGCCTCCAGCTCAAACCTCAAAGCAAAAGGTCTTTTCTCTTAGCAGACCAGCTAAGGATTTGCACATGTTTTGTGTTATTACAAGACAACCACATACTACAGAAGATGCAGACTCCCTTCTGTCCTCAGTGACCCCTGCAATCAGCAATTCAGTACTTACCATTCTGGGGCCTCTGAGCTTTTATCTCATTGAAACCCAAGAGGCTGGAAAGCTCCTCATCATACCAGACAAGCAGCTCCTCATTTTTGCTGATTTTCCTTGTGGAGCGATAGTATAACTGACTGTTTTCCAAGTAAGCTTCCAAGTTCTGCTCCTTGCTATGGGCAGCTGCTTGTACGAGTCTCATCCAGGGCAGGCCTGTGGGACTGTGCACAGATGTGACATCCACCTGTGAGACAGGACACAAAGAAGGGAAGTCACAGGTCTCAAGGCCCAAAGCAAGAGTTCATCCAATCCAAGAACAAAGCTGGTCTCTGCCTTGCACTGAGCACATATGACAAAGCTGTGAGCCCAACACACCTGCCAGTGTCACCAAATTATCAAAGGCATCCCAGGGAGAAGGCTTCCCCAGTGTGGGGGCTGAGAGCTCTGGGAATGCAGCTGTGTGGGAAGGAGGAGGAGACACCAATGTCCATGCGTAACCCCCCATGGCAAAGCCTTGGTTTGTCAGTCCCTGTCCTGGGCACACCATCCCATGGGACTGTGCCAGGCGTGGATCACAGAGGTACAGGAGGTGGGATCTTCTCTAAGAAGGGGTCTCAATACTTGGGATATGAAAATGGGATATGAGTCAGGAGATGTGCCAATGCTGTGACTTGGGGACTGAGAGTGTGCAGACCCCTGGATCAATGCAATGTGAAACTGAGAATGAACATACACTCAGGACAGTTGCATGTGGAGTTTTTCAGTGACATAAGAGGATATGGATCAGAGGGTGCAAGAAAAGTAATTGTTATTTGATTCAATACCCCAAGTAAACATCTGCATATATGTTTGGCTAGATTACATAAAATACAGATTTTAATATATGCAACTAAGAAGCACTTATATGATCTCTTTCCTTTTTTTCAGAAATAAAATTATATTTTACCTTTGCTAGATTAATTAAATTAATTTCAAGGTATCTAAACAGATAAACCTCATCACATCAATATTTTTGTTAAATAATTTCTGAGAGCTGCAAGGGGTTGATCTGCTTTCAATTTGTGGGCATGCAGATATACCAAACAAATTAAGTTTAAAAACATTTCTCAGGTCAGGCACTAAAAAGTTTAAAAAATAATATTAAGTCTATTGCCCAAATTAAATTTCTGTTCTGTGTGTATATTACAGCATAGTCCTAAATCACATATAATTGTTACTCCACAGGAATCCTGAGTCATTTAGTCACAGGTTGACAAGTAAATAATGCAAGTACAAAACATTTGGTATTGTCTTCCTCACGCAGTGTGTGACTCCAGTCTTACTTACTTTAGTACACTAAATAAGGAATCATTTATTTCTTTATAGGTTTTTCCTTGGTGTTTACCACAGCAGGTCTGTGCCCTCTGCAACATTTGAAAGGGAATATTTTCATAGCTTGAAGGTTAAAACACAGGGTGATCAAAGGCAACATTTATATGCATAAGAACTAATTTTTGACGCACTAAGTCATTGTTCAGAAAGGAAGAAGTCTGCAAATGAAAAATGTCTAATGACAAGCATGATCTAGATTTCACCCCAAGCAATGTATAGCTCTTTGTTTTCCACTAATTGCAGGGCAGCCATTCTTTGGTGTTTGGTACCAGAAACAATATTTTGGCTAACTATTTCTCTGGTTTTAACTGACTATTACCTACAGTGAAAAGTTTGATCACATTAGTAGCTTGGATACAAGAATGAAACATTAAAAAACCATTAGGATGAGAGTTACTTAGCGTAAGAGAGAAAATAAATTAGCATGCCCTGAAACTGGTTCTCTCTAAATGCCATGGCAATTAACAATGATTGAGAAATACAAGTGCCTGACAGCAACCCAGGAACACCCACCCACACACAGAGGCTGTAACTAACAGCTATGACAGAGGCCGTCATATTTTAGTTGCTGTGTTTCAGAAATTCCAAGCAGCCACCCGGTGCTCTTAGCAAAGTCAAAGGGAGCACAGCTCCTCCAGAACTCCAGGGAAAGAGCTCAGTCAGGTTCAAGCAGGTGAGGAGGAGTACCAGATGTACGATAACATCTGGGTTCTGCCAACTAGAATAATGAACTAGCTTTAATTTTTCCATGTGTCTAGAGACACTATAAACCCGGCAAATCCACCCTCTCCTGGAGGTGTCAATCACCCAGAGGGACCCTTTGTACACAGATATGAGGGAAGGCCTTCACAGTCCAGCACCTCAGTCAGAGCTGGGCTGTGGAGGAATGTGGCTCCCTTGGGAGACGCTGGAAGAGAAGAGAGGCAGTAAATCTCTTCCTTGAAACCCCCAAGAAGCTGTAAGGGGCAGAGGAATCAGTGAAAAGAGCCACCTGTGCCAATGGCTGCCAAGGCATCCTCTTTGCCCAAGTGTACAAACTGGGCCAAGGAGATCAAATTAAGGTCTCGAAGAAAATGAGGGAAAAAAGATTATGAAGTTCTCCTTTGGTCGAAACAAAAAAGCCCAACATGATTAAACCCTTGTTAGAAATAACATTCCCCAAAGTCTTGCTGGAGTGCTAATGAACAATAATGAACAGAAACCTCAGTTGCAATGAACCCACCTTGCCAATTCATTTTCATGTGTGTTCTGTTTGTACTACACCCAGCAGAGCAAAACTCATTTTTTGTTTTGCACTTCAGTGCCATGATGACAACATAGCATCATTATTGAATTTTTAATTAATTACTTCAAACAGTTAGGAGCCTAATGGTAGTTCCTGATTTCTGGGAGGTTTACTTTTAATTATGAGTAGTTAACAGGATATGGCACTACCAATTGCATCTGAAACAGCTACTTGCACAGAATTTCATGAATTTACTGCCAAAAGAATGAGATCTGAGCCAACTCAGGCATCCAATTTCATTGCTGCATAGCAATTACTTAGCTCAAGTGTAGAAAAACACTAAATCCATCCCTCTAGAGGGCTCTTCCAATGTAGAAAACCTTTGAGGCTCTCTCTACAGTAATTCAAAACTCCCAGGAGAAATACAGAAATATTCCAAAAATAAAGCCTTTTTTCAGGGCAGGTCTCTCTCCAAAGAGTTTGTTGGTCTCCTGGAGTACTAATAACACTGTCCAAGAAAGCAAACTTGTGCCAGAGACTCAAAACAGTCAGATAAACCCTGACTTCTCCCTCTTAATTTGCTTAAAGCAGAAGTGTAGAACAGGTTATCTGCCAACAACTGTATCTTCCATATTACACATATGCCTTGGGATTTCTCTCCTCCAGAGTACAGGAATCTTAGGCAAACCTGGATCTCTCCCAGACCCATCCATGCCATAAAATATGGGAAATTGGCTTTCCTCACACCGTAAAGCACCTCCCTGTCTTCATCTAGACCAACAGTGACTGAAAGGCACTCCAAGACCCAGAAAGCCAGGGTGAGTGGTCATCATGAAAAACAGTGGCTATGAAACAAAAAACAAAAGTGAGGAACCAGTGCTTGAGAGTTAACAATCCATTACAATCCTGGGGTTTCTGCCTTCCCTACAGGGATTGAAAAGTGTAGCTGTAACACAGACATACAGATCTAAGGTGACTTTAGGAAGTCCATGTACTAGCAGCATAAAGTTGTGGCTGCCCAAAGTGTGTGTGGGCTAGTTGTCTGACTGCCATTGTGGTTTCACTTTCAAGGATAACTGAACACACTGGGGTAGCAGTTGCCTAGATCAGTAAATAAATGCTGTGAATGTACCACCTGCATGAATCAGTGCCACAGTCTTCCTCCTCTGTTCTCACAAGGCTGTCATACCTCCTGATAAACTTCCTTTGTCCTGACAAAAGCTGAACTAGAGGTTTCTAAACTATTTGTCCCCCTTCCCTCCTATTCCAAGTCAGACCTGAAGCAGGCCATCAATCATCAGCATAGAAGTGAGACTTTGTATTCTTCTTGCAAAGGACAGAGTTTTCCTTAGGTCCTTCCAGTCTACAGCTCATAAATCAGAAATGCACTGGTCCTTTCTTTGAGGGAGCTGTTACTTGTTCTGAAAAAAACAAAAACCTACCCCTTGAAAAGTTACCTTCTCAGGGATGGTGTACCTCCTTTTGATAGGTCTAACATTACCCACTCCTATTTTTCTCATACCTTAAATACATAGTGTATGTTCCGTCTGTCAGAACACTTGAGAGCAATGAAAGCTACAGTGTCCAGCAGGGTGTTCTGGAGCATGCATGGTCCAAAAACAACTTCTTCAGGGATGTCTTGTGTGGTATGAACAGTAGCCAGTATGTCTGGAAAATGGTGATGCAGAAGCTTGTTGTCACTTGTCCAAAGGAATTTAGGCAAAGAGGTAAGTTCCATTATAAACCTGTAAAAAACACAAGAAATCACATTTGGCACAGAGATGAAGTAGAAGGTGGCATCACTACTTCAAATACAAAGATTTCCAGGATCTGTAGGTGAATTGTAAGAGTATGCCAGGACATTGTTGGTTACAGAGTTTACAGTTTTATTAACATCGAGTTCAGAATGAGAAAGATTACTTTGCACTAAACCCAAGTCTTATATTCGTAAACAAGTGAATTACTCTTCCTGCAATAGGCAGACAGTCCAAGTGTTCAACCACTGCTCTCTACAGACAGGAGTAAGATTTGGGAAAAATAAGCAAAATTTTCAGTGAGTAGAACTCAGCATATTCTTAAGCATATTCTCAGATATCCTTCTTATTATTAATAGTTTGTAGAAGTGTGAAGAAAGGTAGAGAAAGAGAACAGGAACAAAATAAAGCAAGACTTTTTGAAATACATTTTGAAAAAGCTGTGCTTTTATTGCTTGAGTACAACATCAGTCTAGTTTCTGATTAAGCTGTTACAAAACCAGGAATAACCTGAGTCCTGAGTCTATCCAACCAGAATGCACAGAATTTGTGGAAATTCCTGAAAAGAATTATTTTCGTCCTGCCTCAAAGTATATGTTGTCAGCTATTGTTGAGAAAATCAAATCAGATTATGACTCTTTGCATAGTGATACTCCTAGCACAATGTTAGTAGAGATTTCTGTCTTTAGAGGATAAATTTTTCCAGCCTGAATGTAGAATAATATATTTGTCATTGTAGATGCAACTTCTGCAACATGAGCCACAATGTGAGAACTCAGTATGCAGCAAGGAGAAGACAGGCTTGAGCTATTTGTCATTCTAAGCCTCTCTGGGTTTCTAATAAAGATATTGCCATCTCCAGCTCCCAGCTGGAGGTCATGGAAAACCCCTCATTTACACCATCAAGAGCTGGATCAGGTCCATTAGGCAGAGAAAATTAAAGAGAACAGCAACAAGCCCTGAAGAGGCCTTAGCCTAATAAATACTGAGATAGAAGGGCTGAAGATCTAGTCTAATCTTTCTCACTCTCTGACAGCAGAATTGATTTGTTACTCACTGACTCATGACTTAAATTGAAGTGGTATAAAGTGCTCAGGAGAGTTGCACTGATTTAACTAAATCAGTTTCTAAATCAGTGTAGTTAATTCAGTATAATTTATTCCTTGTGGGCAAGGTCTAAGACACTACCCTAAAAATATTAAAATACATGGTCAGACATTCAGTATGTATAAACATCAGAAGGAGGAAGGCCTAAACCAGACAACCAAGGCAAAGAGTGGGATAACACATGCCCTCAAGCATCCCTTAAACTCAATATGACAATAAAGTTTGTTTGTTTCTAAATTACTTGTTAACTTAATACGTGATCAGACAAAAAAATCCCCCAAACCTACATGTGCAAGTGCCAAAGTCTCAAAGAGCCACCCTGGCAGCTGTGGGAGCACAGAATTTGACTCTTGCATGGAAGGGTCACTTTTGTGAAAAGCTGTGAGAAGGATGTACTGTGATTACACAGCAGACGGGACAGTGACCGTCAGCCTTGCTCTAAACGTGCTGGGAAAATCCCTGTTTTCCAATCACGTGGCGAATGCACCATCTAGTGTCACATCTCAGCATCACACAGTGTCCCGTGAGCAAGCGAAGCAGGACATCCCCACCTCTGCCCCGTGAGCAAGCGAAGCAGGGCATCCCCATCTCTGCCCCGTGAGCAAGCGAAGCAGGACATCCCCATCTCTGCCCCGTGAGCAAGCGAAGCTGGACATCCCCATCTCTGCCCCGTGAGCAAGCGAAGCTGGACATCCCCATCTCTGCTGCTGTCCGTTCATTGCACGGTCTCAGGCTCTGAGCATCCTGTCAGGCAGGAATCGTTTCTCTCCAGAGTGGCTCATTCTCTCTGCCAGTCTCTGCTCAAACAGCAGCTTGGGTGCCTCCTCAGCTACTGGGTTTGATAGGGTCTGGTCAGAGTTATGTCAGGTAGGAGTCATTTAAATCTACAGTGCTGGCATTTTGCAGTGTTGGCTGAAGATGTGCTGCTGGTACTCAGAGTGGAGAGTGGGGATTCTCTGCAACATCATTAGAAGAAAAAGGGTGAATCTTTTTCTGCAGTCTTCAAATAGCATGAGAAAGCTCTTCCATCTGCATCCACAAGATTTCAGCTTCTGTCACTAAGCCAAGCTCATCAGCAGAGGGATAACAGTGAGCAAACAGGACTGTACTGCTTTCAAACTGTGCTGCTACCTCTGCAAAGGGACGTGCTGCATCCCGTGGGTTTTCCGACCTGCCCTCATTCAGGGGTCTCCATTCCAAAGTGCAGATTCATCCAGGGCAGTACTGGAACAAGTCCTGTCTCCTGCACATGTGAGGGGTGGTAGGGAGTTCTCTGGTAGCTGCTGCCCTTACCACAGAGAACTGAAATACTGCCAGAGGGCACCTACTGGATTGTCAGAGAGGGTCAGCAGGAGTGTGACTGCACTGTGGCACCTGGCAGTGCAGAAGGTGGCTGTGTAATAGTCAATGCATACCTCATATCTTGAAACCACCATCAGAGATCTCAGAGCTGCTGAAATACAGCAGCAGCACCCCCAACACTCATAGCAGACAGCAGAAATTAGCTAGGGAAAAAAAAGTGTAAATAGGCCAGAATACAAATCTGAAAAATCTGAAATACCCTTCAATTTGTATGTAAGTTTGAACCTCTACATGTTTTTTATCAGGTTATAATCTAAAGCCAAAATTTCAGCCACAGTCACGATGTTTAGAGTTTTTTTTGAATAAAACCTCCCTTAAGTTTTCAGGAACTTCAGACTTGAGCCTGAATGAGAATTCTACACCTAACCACAAACCCAGTACTTGAGCTCTTGTTTAATTATAAAATTTGGTTTCAATGCAAATCTCACTTTTGCCACCAGTCTTCATAGTCAAAGAAAATTAATTAATAACTTGGAAATGGACTCATAATGAGAAATGGAGAAGGTATGCTAGAATGCCTGCCATTTTAATTTGACAGGCTGAAGTATGTGAATCACTCACATTCTTCCCAGTGAGTGAAGAAGAGAGAAAATTCCCATAACAGAGAATGACTGTTCCCCATGACTTCACCCAACTGATTACTCTTGCCTTAATGCCATTGATCTCCACATTTTGACTGCCTTCTTTAATGAGCAATAAATCTGCTATGCCTCCATTTCTTATAGATTCACTAGCTGTTGTACATACGACTTCATTCACTCTTCTCCTACTACATAGCAGTTTACAGAACTCTACCACAGGCTTCATTGTGAAGGTCAGATCTTCAGCTCTACATCCTGTAGGCAATGATATGCTTGCCCCAAACTGCCAGAGCTGGGAGGGCCATTGCTTCCCAGGATCCCCCCATACTACATGATCTTGCTGTTCCCACTCAGGTTCTGCATGAGCAGTTCCTATCCCTCTGGAATTACCCACAGACATCTCTGAGAGGCTGAAATAAAATGAATATTTATAGTGCTTTAGTAGCACATTAGACTCAGATCATCTGTTATGGGTACTCTCCATATTCTATCTGTCACAGATGGGAATTCTTCATATGGATGAGTTTAGGGACTTGCTGTTTAATGGACTCTTCATCCCCCAGACAGTATCTGATACACATATACCATGTCCCTGAGTGATGGATTTTGCATCTTGATTTCTGAGAAGTGTGACAGATCTGTCAAAGAACAAGGACCCATGGGCAGGCAACTCCCTATGGATTATGCAATTCTGAATGTTCCATCAAAAAGCACATTAAATAGATGATGCTCACAGCAAATGCTTCCAGCCTGCTTGCCTCCAAAGCAGCACACAAATTGCTACTTAACTTTTGGTTTCCTGAGTGTTCTTCCAAGCTGGAACTCCAAAGATAGCCTTCTCCTAGTCTCTCCCCCTTTCCTAGCATTTGTATAGCATCCCATTAACTAATTAGGGCTACAACTTCTACCTTCCTGAAATGTGTTTACATAGCTCCTGTACTTCATAAGAAAAACATGTTACCAGAGAGGAAAATAAAGGAATTTTCAGATCCCTGGTTTTCTACTGCATGGCCTTCAGATGTCACTGCAAGCTCTCCTAAGAAATGTCTGGAAATTCCCAAATGTAGAAGCACTGAGTTGAGCAAGGACTCCCTTGAATTCTCTTTTCAGAGGATTTGACCCGATTCTCCTTGCCACAATGACCACACTGAACTGTGGCATCATTTGGAGCTTCTTAGTGGCCCTAAAGGCACTGGTAGCCCTGCTCATATTATGATCAACTATGCAAGTGGGAAGGAAACAAATTAATCACATTTGCAAGAGGGGAACGGTTTCATCCAGAAATTATTTAGCTAGTTCTGCTCTTCACAATCAAAACCACAAGCAGGCAATAAAAAGCATTTCTTCAAAATTAATTTGATTTTCAAAATTGTCAATAACTACTTCACTTTCACCTTTACTTCCATTTTAACTGTAGATTAATTTGCATATATTTATATCACTTTCAGAGCAATTATCCTAGCTGGGAAAAAAATGGCACAGAAGATACTCTTAAAAAATAATTGAAAGTATTTCATCCTGGACACCATCACCCCACTGTCTTCCCAACCATTTCTGTATCTACTCCGGACTTTCTCCAGAGCAGGGGTTAATGTAAACACTACAGTTCTGCATTTCCCATGTCAACAAAACAGAAAGCAAAAAAGAAACAGAAATATTAAATACTGGGGCCATCATTTCCTTCACCTTTTAACTTACTCCTTTCTGCTCCAAAGTGTGATGGCATTTTCCCTGAAGCACATAACCTGTGACTGTGCCACTGCCAAAACTGCCTTTGATTTCAATAGGAGGTCTGTCAGCCTGAGGAATCCATGATCAGACGTGCAGTGTCATGCACAATAAACTAAACATAATAAAGGAATTGAGCTGATGCAGACAGAGTGGTTCTGTCTGCAGCATTTATTATTTTCTGTTGTTATAAGGAACTGAGGATTCTTTACA